ATTTGACAATGAAGGAGCCCTTAGGGAAGGTTTTTCCCCAATGAAGATCCCTTCCCTTCGGTCCCTTCTTTAACATTAAAGGGAATAAATCAGACTTGCACACGGATACGGATATGGATACAAATAATATCAAAATGCCTGCGGATATCCGTCTTTATCCGCCCGTATCCGCCGTAAATATCAGGATACAGATACCAAGATCAGTATCCGTGTGCAAGTCTGGAATAAATTACATATTAGTTAATTCAAATAAACTTTTCTCTAATTTTAAAGAGAATTATTTAAAAAAGTATTTATCCAATAATTATTTTGAACAAATCACAAGACCTGTACCTATTTAATCTTTAAATTAATTAATTAAATAATTTAACTTACTCCTTTCTCTCTCTTTTATAAATAAATTAATTAACTAAAAAAATAAAATCAGCAAGAAACTCAAAGCTCATAAAAAATCAAAAAAGCAAAAAATATGTCAAATTTTCACTAATAAAAAGTACATTAAAAGCCCTTCATATACTTCTTTGCTTTTAAATTTTCTTTGGCAAAAAATAAAATCCCTCAATGCACCCCCTTAGGAGAGTAGAGGAAGTAAAAGCGTTCATCCGCTCACAGCTTTTCCTTCATTAGAGAAAGGATATAAAATGTTGAAAAAGCAAAAAATAACAAAAAAAATAAATTTATAAAAATATTTTTTGTTTAACTTCATTCCAATATTTTTTTGTTATTTTTAAATAATTTTTGTTAAAAATTTGTCGAGTTTCTTAAGAAATGTTAAAATCTGAAATCGTTATTATAAATCTCTAAAATATTAAATTTGATCTATTTCCCATATAAAAATAATTAATTTAAAAATAATTAGTTTTAGAATAATTTATTTAATTTAAGATTTGTAAAATTTAATTATGTATTCTTTAATAATTTCTAGAGATCAATTTTAAATTAATTTAAATAAATTTCATTTAAAAAACAATTATTTTATTAAAATAAGGATCAAATACATTTCGAATGGAGTATAATGAACAAAAAAATAATTTACACATTCAAAACAATAAGTCGTTATTCTAAAATATTATTCACTTTATCTTTATTTTATAAAATCACAAAAATCTATTAAATTAGTTATTGTCGAAGGAAAATTTGTTTTCAGGGAAAATCTTCATCTAATCGGCAAATTCCTTCTTTCTTTGGTTCCGTTTGACATAAACTCCAAGCAGTTTTTGGGGTTCAGTGCCTATGGATACGGAATCCAACACGGAACCATAAAATCATTATACCATAAATAACCATAAATACGGAATCCAATATGGAAACCAAAGCAAACTTAAAACTCAAAGAAAAATAGATTTTAAAAAGACGAGAAGGTTTCCCTGAAAACACCACGCTTTTCCGCCGACTTATATTTTCCGTTTTTTTCTAAACAAATAAAAAAAAGAGAAGGGGAGAATAATGCTTAATTACTAAGTAAAGGCTTTTCCAACTTATTAAAAGGATGAGAAGAGAGGCTTTTCAAAAATATATTTCTTAGAAGGATATTTATGTAACCAAAAAAAGTAATGGGAGAGAAAAAGTAGACGTAAATGGAATATTCTAAATATTTTTATTGGTAATAGTCTTTAAATATATTTTTGTTTTATCTATTCTTTACTTTTTTGTCTTCTCTCTTATTTTAAATTATTAATTTTTTATTAAATATTCTAAAATATAGACAATATTTTTTGATCTTTTAATTTTTTAATTCATTAACATACCCAAAATTTACTACTTTTTTTTCTTTTTTAAAAATATAATTTTTTAAATCTTAATTACCGTATATATTCTATTAATTACCCTCCCTCAAATAATTACCTCAACTCTATTAGTTACCCCCTCCAGCGAAAGTTTGAAACAATAGGGTAATCCCTCTTAAAATTAGTTATAATTAGCCTTCCTAAAATAACCTCTATTGATTACCCTCCCCCGAGAGAAGTCGAAACAATTACCCAGGGTAATTAATAGAGTATATATTTATGGTACATTAAAATTATTTTTTGAAATTAAAATAATTATTTATTTATTTTTCTTCTTAATTTTGTTTTTATTATCTTTTTAAATTAATATTTTTTTCTAATATTTATTCTTTTCTTAATTAAAAATAGAAAGTTTTGAGGAGGCGGCAGGATTATTTTTAGGATTAAATAAATAAACAATGAATATTATTTTGTGAAAAATAATTTTTTATGATAATATATGTAGAGGATATTATTTACTTTTATTTTTTTATTTTTAAATATTTAATAGCTTTTTGTTTATTTATTAAATATTATTTTAGACAAAATTCAGAATATCCCGGTAGTTTTTAAGAACTGCCAACAAATGATGGGACGGGTTCCCAAAACCCCGACTTTTTTCTTTATCCGTCCAATCCCTGCCTCCAAACTTATGAACGAAGATAATTTTAGAAATTTCTCCCATTCAATTTAGCATTTCCTCTACAATATTTTTATTCGACTGGCAGTAATCTTAAATATCGAGTTTTGGCATATTTTATGTCAAACTTGATCAAGATTTAAATCCTTAAAAGCCTGATCCTTGGCATATTTTACGCCAAACTTGATCAAAGCTAAATTTTCATTTCATTAAAAGCCCGATCCTTTCTACTAAAAACAAATTCTTATACCTACTAAATAATTCTTCTCAACTTTATTTATCTATTTTTAATCCCTTGTCCTTTTATTTATTTACATAAATTTATTTTACTTTTATTTTTATTAATATCTCATATTATTTTAATCTAGTATTTAACACCTGAAAATATTTTATTTATTTTTAAAACAATTTAAATAAAAATAAATGTAAAAAGTATCAAAAAATACATTAAATATTCCTTTTACTTTTTTCTTCTATTTTTAATAGTTTCATGCAATTCTAATTGGGATAGGCAAGTGAAATAAAATATTTAATTTAATATTTACTTTTTAACTATTTTATTGATTATAAGACAAGTAATAATTACTTTTTTTGGGGGAAAAATTGAAGAAATTTGTGTCTTTTTTTATCATTTTATTGCGCGGTTAATTTATTACATTTTTCTTTGAAATATTTAAAACTGATATTTAATAGAAAATTAATTTAATAATTTTTAGATGGAATTTTGATTGATTAACTTGAAAAAAAATTAGATTTTTGATTATTATCAAAAATTATTATTTTCTCTTCTTAGTTTTTTATTTAGAATTAAAATAAATTTTTATTTATGTAATTTTAAGCCCTAAAAATAAAAAAAAATTTGGGGACTAAATCTGTGTTTATTTTATGACAGAAAAAATATATATAACAGAATTTCGCGATGTTAATAGAAAATTCAATAAGATTTTTAATTTAACACTAGTTTCAAAAATATTTTTAATTGTAAATTGCATTTTTTATTCTTTAATTCCTCTAAATTTATAAATTAATTAAATTTAATATTTTTTAATTAAATTAATTAACCGTAAATCCTCTAAAATAAGCCCCGAGCCTATTTTTCAATCGGCCTCTAGAGGGTACTCATTTTAGGGGGAGGCTTATTTTGGAGGTGGCGCCTATTTTAGTGGATTCACGGTAAATATATTAGCTAAAATTATCTATAAATTATCGAGTTTAATTTTAAAATAAGCCTAATCCATTTAATTTGACAGATTTTCTAAATTAGTTATATCTAGATTAAAGATCTTCTTGTTAATTAATACATACAAATTTTTTTAATTTTTATTTTTTTATGCGTCCTTTTTTAAATTTTAATTTAAAAAATTTTATTTAAAAATGATAGGTATTTAATTAAAAAATTAATTATTAAACATTTTACGTGAGAAAATTAATTTTAATTTTCCACTTTTTAAAACTTTTGCAATTTTTTCTAACGAAAAGTAAGTACACATTTAAGTATAAATATTTATATTGACGACGGAATTAATTTAAAATTTCCATTTCAATTAATTTTTAAAAAAATTTTTAAAAGATTTAATTTTAATCTGCTTGAATAAACTTTTGATTTTCTTAAAAAAAAATTATTTTTTTAAAGTTTTTAAAAGATTTTTTGATATTTTAATTAATTCTTTGTAATATAAATTCTCTTAATCTTTACTTTTTAAAAAAATTATTTTTATTTAAAAATTAAAAAAAAATTTTTTTTATAATTTAATAAACTCACTCTTTTTTTTGTAGACAAATAAATACTCTTTAATTTTCTTAAAATAAATTAAAATATTTTTAGAATTAATTTTACAAAAAAAAAAGAATTAAATTAACTATTATTTTAACATTTCGTGCTAAAAATTAGCATTTAAATAAGATCAAAAAATCATTTCAAAAATAATTTTTAGCTTCGAGTTACCTAATTTAATTTTTGTTGTACCAAAAATTATTTAATTATATATTTATTTAGAAACCTCTCGAAACTTGCTTTCTTTTCCTTTTTTTCAATTAAAAAACTTAATTAATTGTTGTAGCACCCCTCCCCTTATTCTCCAAATATTTAAAACCCCCACACCTTTATTTTTTCTGGTTTATTTTCTTTTGTTTATTTTGCAGAATATTTTTTATTTTTATTGAAAACAATAGAAAATCTTTGCCAATTTTCTATTAAATAAAAATAATAGTTACGTTATTTAAAATTATTTTTGTCTATTGTTGTTGGAAATAGAAATATTTATTTTTAAATAAATTTATTTTTTTTGTTGTTTAAAAATAAATTTAAAAAATTATATTAGGTCGCGTCATAATTAGTAATGATTCTTAATTTCTCTACGAGGTAGTGAAGTTCAAAAAATCATATCTTTAAGAATATCACCTGTATATGGCTGTAGCTGGTATTAAAATGAAGAGTAGATTCAGATCTATATGTTTATTAATAATGAATAAGAAAATTAGTAAAACAACACCCCTAAAAATTTAATTTAAAAAACGGCCACTAATTATGACGCGACCTAATAGCATTTAAGTAATTAATAAAAAAATTTTTTTAATTATTTAGAATTATTAATAATGGATTTTTATTCTCAAATTTCTTTAAATACCGACGACAATAACCACCAAAACCAAAGACAATTACAACAACAACATTTTTCAGACAATTTAATTCCCCCCTCAGAATGGCCAGTTAAATTAGTTAATGCTAATGTCTGGCCTAATTTTCTTTGGAGAAAACATCCAATACCAAACAATAATCAATGCCTTCCAATTCAAGTAGAACAAAAAATAAAATTTAAGATTAAAAAAAAAATTTTTTTAGTCAAGTTTTCCTGAAATGGTTGACCTTTTGCCTGTACAATTAATTTTTTCTTTTTTGTATTTAATCATTTGGTTAGCTGCCATTCTTGGCAATGTTTCTGTTTTGTATGTTGTTTCTCTTAAACAAGTAATTTTTAAATAAAAATTAAATTTTTTATTCGTATAAATCAATTACTTCAATGTTAATAAATCATCTCTAAAAAATTTCTAATATTAACTTATATATTAAAAAAAATTTTTAAATACAGTCCAATCTGAATTATCCAAGAAAATAATAACCTCATTTTAAAACACACTTTTTCTTAAATCTGGTTGATCATTGGAGAGAGGCCGGTCTTCCTAATTAGGGTTGTTTAATGGCCATTAAGGCTTATGGCCCGACTTAATGGCCCGATATGGTTAATTGCCTTAATGGCCCGACACGGATCGAAAGACGAGTCGGGCCTAAGAAATTTAGCCCGAAAAAGAAAAACGGAAACCCAATTCCAAATACCCTCAATTCACTCGATTTTACATTATATACAATTTTCACTCCCAAGATTTATGAAAAATTGAGATCCACCTCTAATTTATTATTATATTTTTTAAATTCCCATTTAAGGTTCAACTTTCCTCGGTCCGTTCAGTATTTATTTGCAGTTTGGCAGCCTCAGATATTTTAATGTCAATGACTAGTCTTCCAATAACTGCAGTTTCAATATTTACTAGGGATTGGGTTTTTCCAACATTTTTTTGTAAATTAATGGGAATATTTCAGGTAAAATAAATAATAATAATTATTATTTTAATTTTTAATTAAAAGGGAGGTGCTGTTTTTGTTTCAAGTTTTACATTAACTGCAATTGCTGTAGATCGTTATATTCTTATTAAACATCCAACTAAACAAGTAAAATATTTTTTACAAATAATTTGTGGTCTTTTCCGTTATACGACCGCAAACAGAGTGCCACCCGATTTTGATAGACTTTAACTTTTCAATGAACTTCCTATACAAATGAACTTTCCTATACAAATGAATTTTATATCATTCGAAAGCCCTCTATAACCTGTATATTTTTTCTGATAGGATAGATCAAATCTGATCAGTCATTAAAATGTTATAACCCAATAAGTCCAGTTATTTGATGTTTTTCATTATAACTTTTATTGGGTGATCAGACCTGATTCATCAATTTGGAAAATATATACCTCTTATTGAGGGCTTTCGAATAATATATGTAAAGTCCATCTGTATAGGATCAAGCCTCAAAAAGTTATAACCGATCAAATTCGGTTGTCACTCAGTTTGCGGTCGCATAACGGAAAAGCACCTGATTTGTTAATTTATTTTTATTTGTTAAGCCTTTAATTTGTGAATATTTTTGGAAATTGTTAAAAAAAATATTTTTTAGAAAATTAAATTTCGAACGGCACTTTCAATAGTTGCTTCACTTTGGATGCTTGGTTACGCTTGCGCAATGCCTGTTGGTATATTTTCTTCTACAGTTGAATATTCTCCTTTCTGTGGTCAATTTTGTGAAGAAAATTGGTAAATAAATAAATTATTTTTTAAAAATTTTTAAAAATTAATTTTCTAGGCCAGACACAGATACTCAATCAGGCAGAAGTCGTTTAAGAAAATTTTACGGAATTTTAGTTTTAATAGTTCAATTTGGATTGCCTGTATTAATTTCAACTTTGTGTTATTGGCAAATTGGTAAATTAAAAATCTGATCAGTCAATAATTATTTAATTATAGGCCAATTAATTCGCCTTCAAATGCGCCGAAGAAGTGAAAGGCAAATGGTTATTTTACAGGAAAGTAAGGATAGAATGAAAAGTCAAAAAAGTAAAACAAATTTAATGATGGCAACTATGGTAAGGGGAATTTTTGAAAGGAGTTTCAATGTTTTTTCAGGTTGCCGGTCTTGTTTTAGCTTGGCTTCCAATGAATTTAATTAATTTATGGAGAGATTTAAATAATGAAAATAGTGTTAATGATGATGAATTAATTAATATAGATAATACAAAACAATTAGAAACTTCAATTGAAAGTGGGGCAAATACAGCCTGGTTTTCGTTAATTTTTGCAGCTTCCCATTCAATTGCTATGACTTCTGGTAATTTTTAAATTAAATAAAAATAAATAAAGTATAATTTAATTAATTTAAAGCTGTTTGGAATCCAATTATTTATAGCTTCTTTAATCCACAATTTCGAGAAACAATTAGAAAAGTACTTGAAAGAAGAAGACAATCACAGGTGTTTATTAGTTAATTGTTTGTAGTTGGGAGGGATAATTTAGAAATACTGACAAAATTTTTTATTAATTTTACCCCCCTTTAATTTTATTAATTTTACCTTTTAATAACTACCCTGGGTAATTATTGTTTCGACCTTCCGCTGGAGTGAGTAATTAATCGAGGGAGGGTAATTATACAAGGTTTAAAATTTAAACGTGTTTTAGGGCATTTGTTTGGGGGGTAATTATTGTTTCAATCTATCGCTGGATGGGGTAATTAATGGAATTGGGGTAATTATTTGAGGGAGGGCAATTAATACAGGTAATACGGTAGATAGAAAGGAAAGGGTCTCTAACTCCAAATTTGCATGTTTTGGACAGCCCTAATTATATTATATAACAATCAAACTCAAATTTTACATACACCTTTGGGCTGGAAATTGTATGTAAAATTGTGTACCACTTAAGCATCTTCGGGGTATCACTTGAGCATTTTTTCGCACCTAGTGACTACCAAAATTGAAAAAAATACAATTTAGCTTGATTAGTATCCATTATACATAATGGTTTAAAAAATTAAAATTCTAATCCTTCTAAAAATATTTTAATTTCTAGGCAGCAGCTGCCCTAATGACAAATGCCCAAAATCACCAAAACACTAATAACAACAATAATCATTTAACAACAAGTAGTCCAAACTTTAATTCAAATGGATATTGTTCTGTTATTAATAATGATTATATTAGAAGAAGTTCAGCACGTTCACTTCTTTCAGCATTAGGTACTGCTATGGGTGTTAAAGATGATAGAAGGGAAGGGTTAAAAACTATGAGGAATAGTGTTGTGTTTTTACCCCCAAAAAGGTAAAAATAATTTAATAATTTTTGGATGAAAAATAATTTAAAAGGGATGGAAAGTGTGTTAATTTATTAGATGAAGAAGTAAGTGTTGTTGAAAAGGATGATGAGGAAATGCCTGGTGACAAGTGACTTGACAAATCGATTAAAAAATTTTAAATTAAATTAAAAAATTAAATAATTAATTAAATAAATATAATTTATTTATTTTTGTTTAAGTGTTTGAATAATTTTTGGAAGTTAATTATCTTCTTAATTAAATTTTATTTGTATTTATCTGAAACATTCAATAATAAATTCAAATTGACAATTTATTTCAGAAAACAATTTTAGTAATAAATACATAGGTTGTATATTTTCATTTTATTTTAAATTTTCACCTGCATCGTAACAAATAAATATGTTTATTAATTTAAATTAAGTTTTTTTATTTGAAATTATTTTATAAATTTAATTAGAATCTTGTATTTATTTACCGTATTTCTTTTAATAGTGCGACTGTCTCTAATAGACGGACCCCTTCTAATAAACCGACCCCCTAGAGGAAGGTTGAAAAATAAACCGACCGGTCGCACAATTAGAAGAAATACGGTATTTATTTTATAAAATTAAACTTGAAGAATTTTATTTAAAAAATTCTGATTTCAAATCAGAATTTTATTAATTATTTTTAGGTCTACATTCTACAAAATATTGCAATTAATAAAAAGGTTTTTTAAAAAAATTTTTATTTTTGTTTGTTTACATTCCCACAATTCTGGAAAAATGAGTATGAAAAGAGTAATATTAAACAGCTATTTACACAGAAAAATAAATAAAAATATTATTTTTTATTTGAGGAGAATTCGTCATGGTTTTGTTGTAAAATTATTAAAAATTTAAACATGTTTTGCTTTTGCCTTTTTATATCAAATAAATTTTTATTGCAACATTTTTATTCAAAAGTTTAGCGCATTTCAGTAAAATTGAATAATAAAAGAATTTAGTTAAAATAATTAAATTTATATAAATTTTAAGTAAGTATCAAGTAAAACTTTGTTATATTCTGACCAGAGGTGTTTCGAAACAAAAAAATGTTCGAAAATCGGAAATCGAAAATCGAAAATATTTTTTAAAATCTTCGAAATCGGAAATCGAAAGAAAAATAACCTCGAAAATCAAAAATCGAAAAACGAAAATCGAAAAAAAATTTTTAATAAAAAAATGAAAAATAAATTTTTGGTACTTATCGGATATCTTCCCACATTTTATTTCCTTTTATTTCCTTTTCCTCTCTAAAGTTACCTTAACTCTAAAGCCAAAAATTCAAATTTTTTCAAAAATTCGAAAATCGGAAATCGAAAGGAAAAAAACCTCGAAAATCGAAAAACGAAAATCGAAAATCGAAATTTCGAAACAGCTCTGATTCTGACCTATTAATACCTTTTACATTGGCAGTCAATTAGCTTATCATTAATCAAATCTGACAGGCGTTACAAGTTTTGCTTTTTATTTACTGATTTTTAGTTACATGAATTAACATCTTAGTGCTGCAGGCAAAAATTTTAAGAATTTTGGGTCTTTATAAGTTAGAGAGAGGATATTCACGTTTTAAGCCACATAATTGATGAAAAATTACAATTATTTTTGAATAAAATTGATAAGTTTTGCCGAGAATTGCCGATGTTTCAAAAAGACAATGAAAGAAATTAAAGATACATATTTCTTTAATTTTTTTATTAATACCAATTACGAGTTTTTACTCGCACTAAATACTCGTATTCGTAGCTCGTCCACCCCTATTTTTGAGCTTGTATTCGAACTTTGTACGAGGTTTGAGTAGGAATTTTGGCACTGATTGCAATCTTAAGGTCAATGTTTTTTAAATTTAAATATTTTTCAGTTAATACTTTTCTTAAAAATATTTTTTTAATTTTTTAGTCCATACTTCATTTTAAATTCAATCACACTTTTTTTATTTTTACATGTTTATTCATGAGGAGGGGAAAACACAACACTATGTATACTAATGTTAGAAATAAAATTCTTTAAGGTGGGATATTAGCTACTAACAAATTCACAAAGCCTCCTTCATTGTTTCTAAAGAAAACCCAAGAAAAAAAAATAAACTGGAATGAATGCAAATTTGATGAGTTTTCAATGAATATTTTTTTGTTTTTTTTTTCAAATTTAGATAGAAGGTTAGTATTTTTGTTTTATTTTTTTAAAGTAAATAATTAGTGATTCTATTGTTTTTCTTTGGGCGTTAGTTTTTTTAAAAGAAGGAAATTAATAAATTTTATTTTTATTTTAAAATGAAAAAAATTTATAAATGATGTATTTTTTTATTTTTGTCGATTTTTAAAGTTATTTGGCTTTTAATTTATATTCTAGAAATATTCACCAGGGTTTCTATCTCGAATTTTTAAAAATACGCAATTTTGATCAAAAAATCCCCATTATATATCCACATTTTAAAAAATAATCCTCATGGCCCTATTAAAAAACCACAAAATGAGGAAAAATCCGGACATATCGAAGCTCTGAAATATTCCCTCCTTCAATTCCAGGGTTTCGATATTCTACATTCTCAATTTGAAAAAATATTATTTTAATAAAATTCATAAATTTAGAACTGAAATTGTGTCGAAACAGCCAAAGGTGTCAGAAATCGGAAATTGGAAGAAACGCTGTAAATCGGAGGAGAGACCAGAATTCCTACCTAGCGAGATTTTTTTTTTTATTTTTGAGCCAGAATTTTAGTTAATTTAAATATTCTTCTCAAAATTTATTTAAAACTATTCACGGTTTTAATTAATTTTTTTGATGATTTTCTGTAAAATATTTTTTTAAATAAATAAATACATATTTTTACAAAATAACTCCGCCTTTTATTTTCTCCATTCTCAATTTTCCTTTCCATTTGCAAATTTTTTATGTATGCCTCTAATATTTCATTTATTTATTCTTCTACATCAAGAGGGCATTTCCTCCAACATACCTTTTAATAAAGTTTAAAGAATAAATTTTTTAATAAATATTTTTATTTAAAAATATATTCTTTGTTTGTTTAATTAATTTTAATTTAATTAAAAATTTTAGAAAATGTTTTCTTTAATCTTTAACAAAAATTTTTTTATTAAATACTTACATTAATACTTGTATTTTAAATGAATTATTTAATAAATTAATTTCTAATTAAAAAAAATTAAAATTTAATTTACAGAAAACATGATAATTAATTTTAATTATTTAATCTTAAAATATTACTTAAATAAAAATATTTTATTAATATTTATATTTCAACTTTATTATGCTTTAGGTGTCCCTCATTTTTCAATTAAATCAGTAACCACGCGTTCTGTTGTTATTGAGGTTTATTTTTTTAATTTTTTAATTTAAATATTTTCAAAACCTTTCTAATTTAATAATAACCTTGATATTAATTTTTAAACAAAAAGTCTTAATAAAATTGTTTGGAATATTTTATATTTTTGAGATTTACATTTCTGAGCTGAATGACCTCTGTAAAGCATATAGCTATTTAATTCCTAAGGCTGTGCATTAGGCGGCGTGGTGTAATGGCTAACACATCAATCCGGTCTACTGAAGATGCTGGTTCGCTCCCAGCCGCCGGATAACCTTTTGCACTAGCTAAAGGAGAGAAATAGCTTTACTCTTCCCAAATCGAAATTATAATAAACCAAACTTTCTGACTGAATCCTTTCTAGTCATAATTTTCTTAGAACATTCCAAAGAAAAATAAAAATAATTTTCCTTTCAAACCCCAAAAAAATAAATTTAAAACTTTCAAATAGATGGCCGATGCTTTAAATGTAAATCGGTTTGATATGCGTGTTCTAATATTTGATTTAGAAAAACTACGAGAATTTCGAAAAAGTGAACTGACTGGGGCTCGTTACAATGCACAGGCATTATTTTTATTTTTTATTATTTTCTAGAAAAAGTAAAAGTGTTAAATTAAATTAATTCCCATAAGAATGTTTTACTTAGATTTTATCGTTTTATTTTTTTAAGTAAATGAACATACAAGATATTAGAATATTACGTTTTTTGAGAGAAAATTTAATAAAAATTATAAGTAATTTTATTATTTTTGTAATTAAATAAATTTTTGTTTTTATTATTATTTAATAATAAAAACTATTTTTATTTAAAAAATATTTTATTTTTTCTAAAAAATTATATTACCGTAAATACTTTAATAGAAGCTCTGGACTTAAATTTTTGAATAGGTCTCCTCGATAGGCTTATATTTTTTTAACAGTGCCGTCATTTCGACGGCACTTCTCCTTTATCTTCGGTTGGACTTGTCACTTCCTTTTCTACTTTACGCCGGATCGGTATTGCGGATTGCGAGTTGTGGGTTGCTTAAATTGCGGGGGTTTTGCAATTGCGAGTTGAGGATTGCGGGATTGGATTTTTTTTTAAAAATTGCGAGTTGCGGGATTTTTTTTTGCGTGCAGCCCTGATCGGTATCAGACCTGTATGCCCTCCACAATCTTGACTGTGCTTCTATTAGAGTATTTACGGTAATTTTAAAGCTTTTTTCTTAAAAATTATTTCTTTAATTTCTAATCTATTAATTTTTTGGGAGTATAGTCCTTTTGGTCCTTTATTTTAAGAAAGTTTTTATAAAATATTTTTTCCTTTTTTAAATAAATTTTTCGACTCATTTGCAAAAAAGAAAAGAAAAAGTTAAAAAAATATTTTTATTTATCTTTTAATTTTTGGCTAAAAAATTGTTTTTTCTCCAATTTATCTCTGAAAATAGCTTTACAATTTCCATTTTTAGTTTTTAAATATTTTTTAAAAGGAAATACTTATTTTAGGAAAGGAAAGGTCAAAAATAAGTTTTGAGTTAAGGAAGTAATAAAAAAGGAAAAGTCAAAAAATTATGAAATATTGGAAAGAAAAAGTTAATTATTTTTAAAGAAAATATTTGAAATTAAATGGATAAAAATAAATTTAAAATTTTATGAGAATTTTTTGGAAATAATTTTTAATTTTTTTTAAATTAAAATAATTCTTGATTAAATTAAAAAATATTTTTTTTATCAAATTCCAGTTATTTACTTTTGACGGTTTAACCCCTGGTAATTGGTTTGCATTTCGAATAGAATATAGACTTGTATTTTCTTTGGACAAAAATGGAGAGAATAAAAACAAAGATTCTTCTTCAGAAATAAAAGAATTGGCTACTAAACAAGTTTGGAAATTTAAATATTTAATTAATTTGGTTGGAATTACTGGGTAATTCAAAAGTTATCGGGCAGTTTTCATTTGATCATAACTTTTTTTCTTATTTATATTTTTAATATTTTTACACTCATTTGTAGCCCATTCAATTCTCCTTCATGGCACGATTTTATTATCGGAACATTTTCCGTTTAATCAATTTAATATTCAAATTAATATCTTTGATTTTAATAAAGTTATGCCAAAAATAGTGTGCCCGATAATTTTGGGACTCTGAAATTCGAAAAAAAACTTTCATTTAAAGTCAAAATTTCAACAGTTTTAATATTATTTTACAAGTTTATTATAATATTAAATAGAAATAAATATAAACATTTGTGTCCTCTAATTATTTTGTTGGCACTTTTTTTGTAAATAAATTGAAAATTTCACCACAGGAAATTTAACCTTGATTTTTTCATTTTATTATTACAATAGAAATTATTTTGTATTTTTATTTGTTCTTTTCCGCCAAGTAGAATATTTTTTAATTATTTTTTATTAGAACTTAAACTTGTTCTCAAATTTTATTTCTTCTTAACTTTTCCTGATTTTTAATTTAAATTAAAAATCGTTTGCTTACAAATAATTTAATATCAGCAAAAAAAATAAATAAATAAATTTTTTTGCCGCTCTAAAATTGTTTTTGTATTTTTTATTTAATATAATTAAATTCTTTTGTATTTTAACATTTCTGCGACCTTATAAAAATAATTGCACTAAATCGAGCGCGGTCAACAAAATAAAATAAAAAAAATAAAAACAAAATAGTAAATGAAGAATTCTCTAAATTTTGACTTAAAAATCAAAAAAAAATTTAAATAAAATTATTAATATTTACATATTTAATTTATTTTTTCCAGGAATTAATTGTTCGAACTAAAACAGAAAAGAGGGATGATGAGACTTTTGGTATAAATATTAAATTATAAAAATATTTTTAATTAAAATCTTTTCATTTTAACTAGGGTTGCCATCTCGCTCGACCCGAAACTCGCAAGATCGAGCGAGCCGAGTCTTTTCAGCTCGAAAAACTCGAAAACGAATCGAATCGAAAAAGCCAAGCTCGAAAAAATGCACCGAACGGTGGCTTGAATCGAAAACGGCAACCCTAATTTTAACTATTAATTTAATTACTAATTTCATTTTAACTTTAACTATTCATTTTAACAAATTAAAATTAAAAAAAATAATTTAAAAATTTTTTAATTTAAATTAAAAGCCCCAAATGATAAATTGGATAGTTCTGAGGAAATTGCTGATGAACTTGTTAAATTTGAACGAATTCAATTATTTCCTGAATTACATCAATTAAATGTTTCTGTAATTCCTTCAATCAAACAAAATGATTTGGTAAATTTAATTAATTTTTTTTTAATTTTAAGGGAATTTATTTTTATTTTAAATAAAAAAAGTTTCTTTAATTTTTCTCGTTTAAATCATCTCTCCTCGATTTCATCTTTATCCTCTCCTTAAATAAATAGAGGAGATGAATCTCTCCTTCAATATACCTACTTGATTAAAATTAAAAAGGAGAAACTTTTAATAAGTAAAGGAGGAAAGTGGATATTTAATATTGGGGTTTAGAAAATAAATAAAAACTAATTTTTAAATTTTGTGTCTATTGTCTTTTTTATTTTTACATTTTAAATTAATGCCTGGATCTTCAAGCATTTTAAACAAAAATTATAATATTAGGGGAATAATTTATATAATTATTTTTAACTATTATTTATTTAAACACCTCTTTTTAATAAATTAAACTATTTTTTAAATTTAAGCCTTTAACTGAAAATTATTTAAATATTTTTAAAACTATTTAAATAAATTTATTTTTTTTAATTAAAATAAATTTTATTTTTTCATTTACTAATTGTACACAAGAACAGTCAATAAGCATTCATTTATTCTTCTTAAAATATTTTTCTGTTAACTAAAAGTAAACAACAACCAAAATTTAATTTTACTAATATACACTATTGTTTGTATATTATTTACATCTTTAGCTATTAAAAATGAGAAAATATATTCTTAAAATAATTAAGGAAATAAAACAAAAAAATATTTTTAAAAAATTTATTTTTAATTAAATATTCTTTAAAAAAATACTTATTATTTTATTTATTTATTTAAATACAGAAAATTTAAAATTAAAAAGCCGGTAGTCTATTAACCTTATATCCTCCAATTTTTTTGATTTTTAAACGTACTTTTTTTAATACTATATTTATTTAGTCAATCATATGTTTTAAAATTTACCATAGAAAATTTAGAAAATCAAAAAAATATTTAAGAAAATATTTTTAATAATTCCCTTAAAAGCGCCAATTTGTTCTAAATACAATAGATGTAAATTAATAGATTAAGAAAGATTAAAAGGATTAGTATATTATTTATGTAAAAAATATATTTTTTTGTTGGAATATTTATTTAAGTGGAAATTTATAAATTATTTTTATCTTTTTATATTTACCGCCTTTAAATAAAATTAACATTTACATATGTTGACTTATTATCCCAATATAATGTTTTGGTTTATATGGTAGAGACATCCAAGATCGAAAAATTTTCCAAGACTCAGACCAAGACTAAATCTAAAGCCAAGACCAGGACCCCAATAAAAGCCCTGGGGACCTAAGAATGAGGGCCAAGAGTTTTGGCGTCCTCAAGTATTTCCGATTTATTGTTTGAAATTATCACCATACTTCCCAACTTTTTTATTCTAAATAGATATTTAATTAATTTAAACAATTTAGATCAGCACATTAATTGTGGCTGAATTGAGATGTGCTCGTGGAACAGTTAAACCACCAGCACTGCAAGTGCCTAATAAAGGAACTGTTCTTAGGTATAGATTTAATTTGAAGTTTTTATTTTCACAAAAAAGTCTCTAATTATTTATTTTTCAAGTTTCGATTTAAAACGAATCCATCCTGGAATGCTTAATTATTGGAATGCTTTAAATCATCTTAAATGTGTTGAATTTTGTGTATTTCCTTTTATTCGTGTTGGACACACAACTTTAATTAATACAACCTTAATTGAAGAAAAAAGAAAAACAAATTTAAAATATATTTTTAGAGCTAGAGAATTGTGCGAATTAATGCCGGTAATTTTTTAATTTTTTAAAATGATATGTGGCTTTCTCGAACCCCGAATAATGATAGCTTTTGAAAAATTGTTTTTTATTCAAACTTCCTAAAAAACTTTGGAAGCATTTTTAAATTAAAATAAATATTGTAAGGAAGAGAAAGATCCAGCTGGTTAGCATTTAAAACGTTCAATAGGCGGGGGTTTAGGATCCATTGAAAGAGGTGAAAGCAGCGTCCCTGTAGATCAGTTGGTAGAGCATCTGTACGTGGTGAATAACTGCCAGGAGGTCGTAGGATCGAAGCCTGGCCGGGATTAAACTTTTACCTCACTCTTACTACTATACATATATTTATTTGTTAATCTTTTTAGGAAGAAAGGCCAAAAAAAGAAAAAACAAATTTTAAAGAAGAACAACAAAGAAGGCAAATGGAAGAATCAAAACTTTTGGAAAGACATTTTCGTTCTTCAAATAATTCTCAAATAATTAAAATTAAATTAATTTTAATATTTATTTTTTGTTTTTTTATTCAATTTTTGTATTATAAAATATAATTTTTAATTTAAAATTTTTAAAAAATTTTCATAAAAGTTTCCATTAATTCCCCTCTTTAAATAATTAATATTTTTAATAAATTATTTAAATTTTATTTCATAATTTAAAAACACGTGAAAATTAATTTTTTACATTTATTAATTAAAATAGACGTTTAGGGGGGGGGGGGTGGGCAACTCTGCTTTGATGTTTACATAATCATGTATTAATTTAGGTAATCGAAAGTGCAAACTCATAAGTGCTTATTATTTAAGCATTTTAAAAAAGAAATTTAAATTAAATATTTTTAAATAAATTTTATTTAATTCTTCTACTATATATTGTACTGGTCATAAGTTTAGACTCAGTATAAAATATTTTTTTAATCCATAATTTTTATTCAAAAAATACGTTCTATGTATATAGCAATCGAAAGCTCTATTTGTTGACATGTTTCTGTATTTTTTATGAAAATGAAAATTGGCCGAGATAATCCGGATCTACCGGATATGCCAAATCCCATATCCTCGGAAAAATTTTTCGGAAAAAATCAAGCAAACCCATTTGATAAAGCATATTTTTGTGAGTATTTACCACAAAACCTTGTATATTTTTTTTTTTCTTTTTATATATATCTTTTCTGATCAGAGATGATTTTTTAAAAATGGCATTTTTCCCTTAAAAATTGAATTTTTTGCTAAAATAGGCGAAAAATGCCATTTTCAAAAAATCATATCTCTGGTCCGGAAAAGATATTTCTAAGCGGTTTTGTGTTAAATACTCACAAAAATATGCTTTATCAAATGGGTTTGCTAAATTTATTCCGAAAAATTTTTCGGAGGATATGGGATTTGGTATATCCGGTAGATCCGGATTATCTCGGCCAATTTTCATTTTCATGAAAAATTAATACAGTATAAAATTAATACCCTTTAATTACCGTATATCCATTAATAACTACCCTGCGTAATTATTGTTTCGACCTTCCGTTGGAGGGAGTAATTAGTCGAGGGAGGGTAAATATACGAGGTTTGAAATTTGTTCGTGTTTTAGTGCATTTGTTTGGGGGGGGGGGGTAATTATTGTTTCAATCTATCACTGGATGTGGTAATTAATGGAAGTGGGGTAATTATTTGAGGGAGGGTAATTAATACAGGTTATACGGTAATTAAATTTTTAATAAATTATTATTTAAATTTTATTTCATAATTTAAAAAATTAAAATCACGTGAAAATTGATTTTACTGTTACATTTGTTAATTAAAATAGACGTTGGGGGGGGGGGCAACACTGCTTTAATGTATGAATTTCTTTTATCCCTCCGTTTATTCCGCCTTAATTATTATAAAATAATTATTTCATAATATTAAAAAATAAAATTTAAAAAATAAAAACAGGCTAAATTTTTTATTTGCACTTTTATTAATTTAAATAAATAGTCGAGGAAAGGCGGCAAATTATTTAATATAAATTAATAACAAGTGCCTTTTATTCGGGCATTTTAAAAATAAATTTAAATAAATATATTTTTATATTTTATTATCTTCTTCATATACATATAATTACTTTGTAATTTTTATCTAGAATTAAATAATATCTTAGAATACCCCTTTCTTAAAATTTTTTGTCAAAATTTTTAAATTCAACCGGGCAGCTTATTTTAAGCATAACTAGCTTTAAGTCAAATTTAAGATAATGAGATTAAATTTAAATTTAATCTTCATAAATGATAGACTCCCGTTTCCAAATGTGTGATTGCCGGAACGGCTCCTAAGTTTTGTTTAATTTACGAATTAATAATTCCTAATAAAAACGAGACATAATCATGATATGTAGCCCCTAATTTTTCCTTTTACCCTCCAAATTACTTGTTATATTTTTGTGCCTCTACATAAAAGATTATAAATAGAGTTGTTCACCAGGGGTGTGCCGAAACGGATTTTAAAAAGTGAAACGCGAAATGCAAAGGCGAAACGAAAGGCGAAACGCGAAACTCTACACCCCTGTTGTTCACGGTCTGTTAACAGAACCGGAACCGAAAACCAGTGTTTTTGGCGAAAAACCGAAACCGTAAACTGGGGGTCGAAACCCGGCGAAACCCAAAACATGGAGTTAATAACCGGTAGTGAACACCCTTACTTATAAAATTTAAAAATAAATATATTTAAATACAGAAATGACTAAAAATTATTTATTAATTCAAAGTTTATTTATTTTATTTTTATTTATTATTAAATGTTGTACATTAGATGTTGAATTAATGATTAGCGATGATTATCAAGAATCACGCCAATTTAATTATTTATTAAAAAATCAAAATTTTAAATGTTATTTGTGGTATAAATTAAAAGAAGGAAATAAAGAAATTAAAGGAATTCGAGGAATTGAAAAAATTAAAAATAAAAATAATTTTTTATTTAAAGATTTACCTAATAAATTAAATATAATTAATGAAGGAAAAGTTGTTCATAAAAATATAAAATATGAAAATGTTGAATTATTTATAGAAATACCCAATAATGTTATTTTAAAAAGTATTGTTCCGAGAGCTACAAATCATGTAAATAATTTTTTGTTGTGTTGGAAATATAGAAATTTCGAAAATCAGAAAAGCCGGAAATACTCACTCCAAAATCCCTTATATCCCTTTAATCTCTCCTTATTCCCCCTAATTTTTGCATAAATTAACGAAAAAAAATGGGACATCAGGTTTTTCGACATAACTCAGTGAAAAAGGGTCCATTTCGGTTAGAAATTTTTTTGTAAATGGTTTTCATGAACAAAATACAGATAAGCTAAACCGCGCGAAAAAAATTTTTTCCTGAATTTTTTTATAAAATAATAACCGTTTTAGCAGTTTAATAAAAGGATGGCACATTTTAAATTTTTGAGATTAGGAGTGGTCTGAAAAATCAAGAAAAATTCCTGTGTTTATTGATATTAATAGAAAATGCAAAAGAAACGAAGTTTTAATACAGTTCCATCATTGAGATCTGTAAACCTGAAAATCAACGGAAAACAGGGCGTCTATATTCTCTTTAAAGAATATATTATAGATGTCTTTAAAATTATTATTTTTCGAACTTTATTCTTGAAAAAATTTTTCCCTTTAGCCACGAAAACCCTAGAAACTAGAACTAAAAAAACAAGAACCCCGATTGTATTTTGCTGCCCAGACCCGAACCACGTCCCGAAGCAAACCCCGTACCCCGACAACCCCGTACCCCGACAAAAAACCCCGTACCCATTTACAAATTAAATATTTGCGTTTACATTTTTAGATGATGAAACGTAAACTAAGCGAGCTTAAATATATTACTAAAACAATAAACGAAGAATATAAAACATCTATTTTGTCTAATCAGTTAAATATGCCAAAATTGGAGATAATTAAATATTCTGATTATGAAAATGCTCCGAAAGAAGTTAAAAATAAAATACTGATTAATTCAAACAAAAAATATTTAAAAAATATTAAAGAAAAAATAGAATTTTATGAAGAATGGAATTTAGAAAATAATTGGCAAGAAATTAATTTAAAAATAAGAAAAATGGAATTAATGAGGAAAATAAATAAATCTGATGGACATGAAAATTTGATTAAGGAAATTAGAGAATGCTATGAAAATATTGAAAAAAAAGGTTAGTTAAAATTTTAAGTCAATATAGTGTAAGATGGAAGAAATGTGTCCGAGAGTTTATGTTTGCTATAGTTTGTATCTAGGTACTATTGTCACTATTGTCATCCTCCAACTTTTCACACAAGTTTAAGAGGATTTCCAATCACCTAATAATTGTCTTATTGCCTATTCAGTTAAATAAATGTTTTAATAAAGCTTTAATATTATTTGGATTTAATAAATATTTAGTGTTCAAGTGTGCGTGTCTGGGGCAGGAGATTAAACGGGGCCTGATCAATTCCTCTTGGGAAGTCCCGGGCAATCTCCTGCCTCGTTCCATTATTTTGGGTATTGACCCACCGCATTTAGTATACTTTATATCGGGGGGTCCCACCTTCTTGAAGTATACCCCTGATATCCGGACATGGCTGATCGAAATAAAAATATTTTTTATTTCGAATCGAAACAAAATAAAAAAATTCCTATTTCGTTTCGGAGCGAAACGAAACGAAATCGAAAAAAGGGCACGAAAGAGCGAAATGAAACGAAACGAAATTTCGATCAGCCCTGATCCGGACAGCTAATTTATTGTTGGCCATATTTTTTGGCCAATATAAATAATTTATATTGAAATAATTTATCACAATTTTTAGAAAAATTTACTCTTCAATTTGGAGTAAAAGAAGCAAAAATATTTATGCACAATCTAAAAATTTTTATAAATAGAATATATAAATATATTTGCATAAAATATAAATATAATGTTATAACAGCAATTTTTAAAAATAAAAATGATAAAGAAATTTTAAATTTTTATAATTACCTTATAAATAAATATGAAAATAATAAAAAATGGAAAACATTCGAAACTGGTGGAAAGACTTGGTTAGAAATTTTGAAAAAAGACGGAAAAAGATTGGCTGAAAATTTATTTTTTAAAGAAAAATTAAAGAATTCAATTCCATTTGAAGAATTAAAACATCGTTTAATAACAATATTCCAACTGAGAGGAATTTTAGAAATTTACAAAGCTTTGTCTCTTAAATTTAATTTTCACCATAAAATTTTGGAAAATAAATTGGAAGGAATAATTACTAATTTGGAAGATTTTGATGAGATATTTGTTGATTTAAATAAAGATTTTGGAATTAATAATAATACA